TGGATGACGGTCCTCCCCTAGGGTGGGATGGGTGGGTTTACTGGGCCCGCTGTAATTGGCACAAGCTGTTGCGGTGTCCTTGCATGTCGGCGAATCTAATAAATTAAAATTAAAACTAAATTACTTAGCTGAAACCTGACTATATGACACTAATAAGACCTGAGGCGCTAATTTTAAATACAACGATGCAATCATCCTTTGCATAGATATATTCTCAACTTGAGATTCAAGTTTTTGATCTGCTGTTTGTTGCACATTTGATGAATTCGTAACCTCACTTGTGGTAATCTGTATTCAAAAGGGCTTCATCTTTGTTTCGCTTTTGAACGAATGTGTCGACGGAGCTAATCGAATCAGCCAAAATGAAGCCGTCACGAAACGTGATCTTAACTGATTGCAATTAAGTCATTGACTTGGACATTGCAACCTGCAACCTGCGACAAAAGACGCTTTCAGTTTCACATTTTGATACTCATGACAGGTTTCAGTTTCGAGAGGTAAGTTGAGACCGTATTGTGTGACAAGTCTTATAAAAGGGGAATCCCCGAATCATTGTCATCGGAAGCTCACACAAAGCCACGAAAGCGCTGCAACTGTGACTGATGTGTTTTTTCCTGTGAGTATCTTCTGCTATCAATCGCATTGTGAATTGTGGGCAAAGTTTGATTTTACAAGAATAATTCACAGATAGAAAAAACACGATAACTTGCTAGACCTGCGATGACGAAAACGCGGCAAAATGGACACTGTCGACGTGGCATGCGCGATATCACTGATTTCGCTTCGACTCGATTCGTTCATTTTGGAACATTTTGGAAAGTTCTAGTTGGAATGGTGTATATCCAGTTTTAAACGAAACCAGCTGTAACGTATATTGGGAAACTTTCGCGTTAACTACCGATGACACATATTCTACTTCTTGCACGCAGCTTAATAAACTTAATGTGATATTTCTATGATTTACTGACTAAAAGTAGCTTAATTGCTTTCACCCCGAATTTATTTGACAATATAGTCAAATTATTAACAACCGATGCAATTGTAAGGTCGTAAAACTGTAGAGGATGTAATCCTGTCCAGTCAAGTTCCCAGAAGAGGGATTTTAGTGGTAGACTTTCATTATGTATCGCAACCCTCTGACTTCCTTTAAATAAATATGACATCATTGTCTTGATTTATTCAGCCCTGTTTCTTTTTTCTAAGTCATTGAACAATAAGCACATACACTAGAACAAAAAGTATTCGAATGTGAATTTGACCTTAACATTGTGCGCTAACTGCTCCGAAGAAAAAAAAAACCAAAAAAACAAACAAACAAACAAAAATTAAGTGAAGCGTAAAACAAAAAGGAAAGAAGAACAAAGACACTCTTGGCCCTAATAAGGTCTAATAACATATGTACGATTATCGAGTACTTTTATATACGATTATCGATGATAGACATCACACGTATTCATGATTATTAATTACTTGAGTTTTTAAATGGTTTGATTTAAAGTCAACTAGGTTTTTCGTACAATGTTCTATAACTGAGTTTTTCACAAATTGCGACAGCTACAGCAATCCCTCTTGTTTGATTTTTGTCCGTGTTCACTTCTTCTTTCTCTAAACCAGAACTTCATCTGCCAAATTCTCTGTGAACTGAACTGCATGTGTGTCTAACGAAACACAAAGAAGTATATGTATGAAGCGTATCAAAATTAATTTGTCAATTTTTTTAGGAATTTGTTCGGTAACCTGTTGAGAATCAGAAATTACCCATTCCCAAGCAAACAAAGTTTGCATATGGTAATTTAATTATTTGCGTGGATAAAGGAAAGCGAAGAAAATATAGACTTATTGTTGTTTGTTCAAATCAGTGACTTGAAAAATAATCTAAAAATCCCTTGACGACTAGTAACATCTCCAAACTGAGCTGCTCTTACCTCCAAACCAATTA